TACGTTTTTTGTCGGCATCTGTGGTTCGTTTAAGTGACACCTCGTCTTGTGTCGTGTTCTGTTTCTTTTTCGGACCGAAGTCGACTATCTGCCTGCCGAGTTTGATGAGTTACCTTTGGGGGAGGCTATTTAAAGAGTTCGTGAACTAGAAAGATGAAAGACCATCAAAGAAAAAGAAATCAAAGGGAGAAAAGGTTAAACGTAAACGAGCTCCAGAAGACGATGAGGATGGTGATCCCGATAAGCAAAATGATGAATACGTAGAGGAAGATGGTTGGTTGGTCAATGATCTTGGCGATGATGGTTATGCTGGTTACGAAGAGGAGGATGATGAAGAAGACGATGACGATGATGGTGATCAGGAGCGACCAAAGGTTTTTGGTGAAGATGAAGCAGAAGAGGTAGATGATGTATCTGGCAAGCCAAAAAAGCCAAAGAATGATGAAAAGGAAGAAAAGGAGAAGAAGAAGCGACGAATAATTCATAAAGGCCCAAGAGTGACTCTCAATGTTGATAGATTGAAACATTTTAATGCTTTGCCCGTGCTACCTGGTATTTTGAGAAAAATGAAGTTCAAAGGTAAAGGTTATGAAGAGGACGATTTAGCCCTCATAATGATAACCATGGAACAGTGGGCTCATCGAGTTATGCCAAATATGAAATTTGATGATTTCATTGAAAAAGTTGAACAACTTGGATCTAAAAAGATCCTTAAAACTTTTGTCGCCAAAATGAGATACAATATGACCCTCGATGTTCGTGGTAATGTGCCTGGAAAAGATTTTGATCGTGACACGGATGAAGAAATGTTGTTCGACGAGGAATTACCTCCAATGCCGACAGTTAATGCTGAAGATGCTTTTGATGCTTTGATGAAAGAGGCAGAGCTTGTGGTGAAACAAAGAGCTGCTGCTTCTAGTTCAGTTTCTAATGTAACAAATGGGAATACAATTAATCCACCAATGGTGCCTTCTGTGAATAATAGTCAGCCCACTGCAAGCTCACAGAATACCAGTAGTCAAAATAAATCATCCTCACTAACTGAAGAGCAGAGAAGGAAAATCGCGGAAAATGCTAGGAAAGCTGCCGAGAAAAGACTTTCTATCGCTATGGAAAAGACTAAAAAGCAAGAATTAGAGAAAAGCTTAACACAATGAAAAGGACCTATCGACAGCTTCACTTTATATTTGTTTAATTTTTCACGTTTTTCATTAAGCAATTGTTTATAAATTTCTTTCACTCTCAATTCTAATTGGGAGGTATGCATTATTAATTCAAAAATTTTACTGGATCATGACCAGTTTCGCTTATTATCCCATCTCGAGATTGTTTACACTTTTTGAAGGTTGTCCAATGGGTCTCTAAATTAGGGTTTGAAAATGTATGCAGCATTAACCATCGAAGAGCAACATTACATTCTCTCAAAATATTAGTTAACTTGTATGTAGAATCTAAGACCACCTCTTCATCAAGATATCCTTCTTTCAGTAAATCTGTAGTTTACTGTAATAATTTATTTAGATGATTCTTGTGATAGATCGCATGTTTACGTAGACTAGCTGTTTCCAAAGTATTGTTTAAGGCTGATTTAGCTGCACGGTAAGGCTCCCAAGCTTCTATAAGGTTAACAATGATTCCCATGTAAATGTTGATGACAAAGTTATCAGAGAAAAATTTGTCCACAATTTCCCTCATATTAGCATGTTGGTTGTGTAAAAAGTCTGGCGCAAAATAGAGGATAACATATAACATTGCAGCTTGATTAGACATGGCGAAGCTTCGATATTCAGAGTATGGGTAAGATGACAGTTGATTATAAACATCATCAAACCTTAATCGACCAATCACTAAGCTAAGATATTCAGCATTAATGGGTACTCTTTTGAAAAAATCCTCCGGATAGTTGACAGGTCTTTTATTTGTTACCGACGAGTAGCCAGTTGAACGCAGAAGATTACAGACATCATCAATATTTGAATCAGATGTAAATCGTTGTGCAGGTAACGATAATAAGAGACTAACATTCTTTCTCGCACCGATCCTTCAATTTTTTGGTCTACAGTTAGAAGAACGACGCCACAAAGATAAAGTGTTTATCACATTATTTTTTACCATCCATATTGACCATAACTGTTGACATGATTTGTTGAATAAAAGCCTTTTTCTAGGTCAGTCATATACTTGTCTGGGTCAAAAATGTACTTATGAAAAGATTCGAAGGCAAGGTAAAAGTCAATCGAAATATCAAGATAGTTGTCACGGATTTCATCGTCTTTGTCTCGGTGAACTGGAGTTGAGTCAATTTTTGCCTCGATTGATTCCAAATTTTTGAAATAAGTAAAGTCGACGATTATATCAGAATAACGATTGAACTCCGTCTTTAAGTCAGGTTTAAAAACAGCCGGTATCATGTCAGATAGACGGAGAAGTTCAGCAATAATGGCATTACCACGGGAAACAAGACGGAGAAGATTGATCCCACAAGGATTACTTTCATCAAGAAAGTCAGCCATTACAAAAATGTATTACAAAATAAATTAGACCTAAGCAGGTTACTGAATTAGTTAAATTAATATAAATATAAATAATAAATCTAGACCAAAAATTAAGGGGAGTTTATGTTCATTAGTAATACAAAATACAGTAAAACTCAGTGAGCAGTGAGACAAAAAATGTAAACAAACATTCAAGAATGAAAGCCGCGCTTTTCAATTTTGTAAATGTAAACGAAATTAACAGTTTCTGAAAATGGCAACCTTTAGTCTAAAGTTTGCAATTCAATTATCCGTGCCATAAGGCGAAATAAAGAGTCGGGAATGATGTGAAGAACCTTTCTAACATATGAAACCAATTCACTTGAATAGTATTGTGAGACGGGAACCAAGTCAGGACTTGATGCTTGATTTATCCGTAACAAGGGCATATCCAGAGCAGAGGCAAGCTTGAGAAAAGTTGCTCGAAGTTTAATGACTAGAGTTGGATCTTTTTGAATACCCTTTTGCATATACTTGGTGAAAGAGTCGATTATTAACCAAGCATAAGAGAGATCGCCAATGAGCTGTAGAGTGATGAGTACGTGCTCTTTTACATCTGAAGTTTTCAACATGCAACATAGGAATTTTCTAGCATCAATCAAGTGTTGCTTAACTTGTATACTGCCTTCTAATTGATGAAAATCCTGAATTTCATCAAGAGCTTTGATCATTTGGATAGTTTTGCGATTTGAACTTTTCAGCTGGTCTGGATCAAGAGCTTTTATTTGACTTGCAAGTTGACCAAACCATTCTTGAAGACTAGAATTGGGTTCAATACGGGTCAATGGCTTGTTACCAGAAAATACTTCCGATAATTCCGATATCCTATCGACAGCTTCACTTTGATATTTGTCCCATCTGACGAGCAGAGAAGGAAAATTGCGGAAAATGCTAGGAAAGCTGGCGAGAAAAGACTTTCTATCGCTATGGAAAAGACTAAAAAGCAAGAATTAGAGAAAAGCTAAACACAATAAAAAGGACAAAGATTTAGACAAAATTATTTGCATGGATTGATTCCAATTCCAATTGATTATCATTGATTTCATCTACTTCATTGCCCTTTCCAGGTTCAAATTAAACCTTGTTTGGTCGATTAGTGAAGTAAATGTTGCTCGGATCATCAGCAAGCTGTGGATATTTATTGATTGGATGATAATATTCCCCTCTGTAACCAGCCACTGAACCAGTGCTCAAAAGTAACTCCTTTTCTGTGTCGTTCCAGGAATGATGAAGTGGAGAAACTGAATCGCCTTCAATCAATCAATTGTTTCTCAAATTGAGATTCTCATTGGGGACTCTAAATGTTTCCATAGTTACAAAAGCTATACTGACCTTAAAGTAAGAAGGCCAAAGTGAGCTGGCGGTTACTTCTACAGCTTTGCCGTTCTGTGTTAAGAACCAAAACTTTATCATATTTTGTCAGTTTACGCTCAGCTGACACTCTTCTCCACGTGTCTCCTGTTTTAAAATTCCACTGAATATTCATCATAGTGCATCATGTTAAACCAAATGGAGATATTTAATTATAGTCTTAAATTATACTTAGAAAATTAAAGATACAAAGGTTTTACAACGTATTAAGAGTTACAAATTTTAAGTACAAAAGAGTGAAGTCACTACTTTCATCACATGGTCGTCATTGCTGAGTTCACAGTCAACATTTCACAAAGGTGTTTCTCCTGATGTCTAGTCACTACATAAAATCCTTTACCTAGTCACTTTTCCAATCTAGTCACTTTGTTCCTCTAGTCAATTAATAATTGTTCACAATTTGATGTACTTATTACATGGAGGTTTATAAAGTTGAGGTCCGAGTCCAATCTAGTCACTTTGTTCATCTAGTCACTTTTAGTTAATTCACAAATAGATTTACTTATTATATGGAGGGTTATAAGGTTGAGGTCCGAGTCCAATCTAGTCACTTTTAGTTGTTCACAAAATATATTCACTTATAAAGCTGAGATTCTTAACGTTGAGATTCAGGTTCATTTCATTCGGATTTAAGTTTACTGGAAGAAAACCAATTTAAAACCGCACAGGGCTTCCGCAGGGTCCGATAACGGCAGCTAAACAAAGGATTTGTCGGCCATTTTATGCGGAGTGAGGGAGAAAATCTTCTCCCTCACAAATGGCCGACCCAGAAAAAAACAACCAATTGTGGCCTTTCCCTACCTACTGGAGGTAGGGAAAGGTAGTGTTTACCAAAAACTGGTTAAAACCAGCTTTGCCTTTCAGTTGACCGGGGCACCAAAAGAACGTCCTCGTTCTGTAAATATAAACTGAGATATGGATTAGTAATAATATGAAAATAATGTAGTGGATAATGTGAATTCGGTAAAGTTTCACCAATCATTTATAGATAAATTGGCGTTGACCATTTTTCTTATGGTCTCTGAAGTTGGAACGTAGTTTATGTAGTCTGCTAATTTCAAATATTCCATATATCCTCTTAAAGTCACTCTGGCATCTCTTTCTGGTGAATGTCCAGCGATTGTGTTTGTTGGATCGTCACGTTTCAGTTTTGGGTTTTCAGGAAAAAAGAATTTATCAACATAAGTTAACCCTAACGGTTGTTGACCAGGCCATAACGATTGCAAATCAATCCAGGTAATGTCGTTATCCATCAAGTGACCTGGAGTAAATTTTAATAACCTTAAATCACCGTCTCCTTGGTGATTACTCTTTTTCTCTAAAATTTCTAACACCGTTTTACGTACTATGTGAAAAGGTACACCCGTAGCTAATCGCTGGGT